GAAAAGAGTATTCTCCAAGTCTCGTTAACAATATACTCCAATATTTTAAAAATCGGTGTACAAATGTGTACTCTGTCAAAAGTAAGATAAACAAAAATTAAAAAAAAATAATTTTCAAAAAATTTCGAAAATAGGAGCAGCTAGGATTTTGGTAAATATCATTTTAAAGTTACCAAAGGGACCCGAACAAAAGACTGCAATCAATAAAATCGGTGTACAAATGTGTACTCTGGCAAAGGTAGACTGCGATAAACAAATAATTAATAAAAAAATTATTTTTTAACAAATTAAAAAAAAGCAGTTAGAATTTTGGTAAATATCGTTTTTATATCTACAAAGAGTGCCGATCAAAAAACTTTAACCAGTTTTTCGTTCAAAATTGAAAACTACTGAAAAGCCTAAATTAAACAACATTTTAAATATTCTCTAAGCGATATTTTATTTAATTTTATTAAAAAACTATTTTTTTAAAGGTAGAAATATGTAAAAAAAATGGTGATAAATCTTTTTTGCGTGTTATGCCAAAATCATGAATTTACGCTTTTGCTTTATTAAAAATAAGCGATTTTCGGCTCACCCTGTATATATCAAATGATGTGAACAGTATTAAAAACTATTCTTTAAGTCTCCTCAATAATATACTCTAATTTTATAAAAATCGTTGTACAAATGTGTACTTACTCTGTCAAAGGTAGACTTTGAGTTAAACAAAAATTAAAAAAAAAATCATGAATTTTCAAAAAATTTCGAAAAGAGGAGCAGCTAGGATTTTGGTAAATATCATTTTTAAGTCACCAAAGGGTCCCGAACAAGAAACTGTGTACGCTAGATTTAAAAAAATATTGGGAAAGTGACCATTTTTTGGTGGTACACTTGGGAAATTTTGCGCAATATTTAAGTCAGTTAAGACATTTAAGATAATATGGGTTTGAGATAATAATTCCTTTTTTAAAATATCTTAAAATATTACAAATAGTTAATTACTGTAAATAAAAAAACAAAAAATCACAATCAAAAGAAGGCAAATAAGTTATCTATAGTGTGTTTACTGTGATTCGAGCTGTATCGCAATAATCTGTACATTTTTTAGTCGTTTGCATTCTAGACATTTTAGGCAGTTTAAAGAAATAGGTAGGTATTTTGGGTGGTTTAGGACATTTCAGGCAATTTTAAGACAATTTTTGGATAGTTTATACAGTTACAAAACAATCCAACAACATTTTAGACAGTTCTAAGCAGTATTTTAAAATATCTCAAAATAAGATAAAAAATTATGTAAAATAGGTCACCGGAGAAAATTAGAAACACCAAAATTATTTTCATGTTTAATTTAACATCAAAGGAGAACGAAGCCTTAATGATTGCCAAAATCCTTTTAGGGATAAGGACAATCAAAAGCAACGACGCGTCAGCAGACTTAAAAATCAAAGCATCTCCCTGAATTAGTTGTTAAGCACACCTATTTATGTCTTATTTTTTATCTATAATATTACAAAAATATCTTATTAAGTTTCGTATTTATTATTTGAACCAACATGCTTAAATGTGCCAAAAGAAACAAACTTTTTATATTATTGAGTAAAGTAGGTATTAAATTTAAAGATATTGGGGGAAACAATATACTTACTTGATTTGTTATGGTTTATTGGGTGGTCTAATTATACCTTGCCTACTTTAGAAACCGCTATAATAAATATTTATACTTAAAAGTATTTACGTATATTGTATAAACGATTTGGCTTTAATGTGGTTGTAAGCATTTGATTTAATTGTATCCTATAAAAATATATTTTACAATGTGTTAAATAGGTGAAATTTGCCACGAAAATTAACACCAATGTAAATGAAATGTTCTTAAACTAAAGGATACATTTCTACTAAGTTTGGAAAATAATCTATTTAATAATATCGAGTCACTTTAAAAAATGTTGAGAAAAATTCATTTGATAATTAACAATGTGCAATTGAACATTTCTGCACCGTTTAGTTAAAAAATTATTGTCTCGTATACTATTTATAAAAATTTCATAGGGTGTTGCCTATTTAAAGTTATACTTTTGATTCTAAAACTATCTCAGGGTTTTAAATCTAATCAATTACGTGTTGTTTGTGCTACATCTGTATAGTAAATTTAAAAGTAAACTACGTACACGTCATCAATCAGCTGATCGGGCACGGTTGTCAATGTGATGCTAAAATCCTTGCATCAAGGAAAAGTGGTAGTGCAACTACAGGGCGATAGATGGCGTTTACATGAATAATACCAAAATGTCAAAAGTCTTAGTTTTTATAACCTATATGATGCACCGCCAAAAGTATGTTTTTAGCCATTTTTAAAGACATTTTCTGATATAAAACCCAAAAATTTTGCCATCTTAAGTCAGTCTCTGGTATATATATTATTATTTCATGTATCCAACATATATTTTGTTAAATATTCTAATATATAATTAATAATAATCCTATTTACCTCTCTAACAGCCGTTAAAGGTAACAAAGGTCCATTATTATCCCGTTCTGCCTCAAAATAGCGTATTAAGGATGACACCAACTCTTGACTCCGACTATTTAAATGCTTCGGCATTTTAAATATAGGAAACACAAAAAAACGATATATAACAAACACAAAAACGGCAATGAAAACTTAAACGATATAAAATAACACAAACAACAAACAAAATAAACGAAATAATACACGAATTAAACGAAATATTCAAAAACACAACTGACAGCTTCGAAATTCTAAAACGTCAAATTCTTTTTTATGTGTCATTTAAATATGAAAAATTTGAAGGTAAACATGACAACATCACAATTGTTGCCAACTTAATTTGGTTAAAATGCATTCAAATATTCAATTACAGACTTCGATTTAGTCATTTAGTGTTGGTACCAATGCGTAAAATTTTTGTTTTATTGATGACGTGTACGTAGTTTACTTTTAAATTTACTATAGGTTCAACCTGTATATTTTCGCCGCTACTAATTAAATTAAATTAAATTAAAAAACCTGTTTTAAATTTTATAATAGGTATAGTTTTTAATAGTACCTTTATTATGTATTAAGTTTTACAAACGCTATTTTAGTTACGAGTTTAATTAGGCACGAGCGAAGCTTGCGAGCCAGTGTTTATTAAAAACGAATGTCTAGAAAGGTTTATAAACGAGTTGAAAACTATAGGTACTTACTCCTTGACGAACACAAAAAGGAATTTAAAGCCAATTCTAATTGTGAAATATTAACATCTGACGAATTTAACCTCACTTTTTTGCATACTATACTTTTTCTACGACAAATATTAAAAAATAATGTATAATAAATTTATATATTTGTATATTTATACAAAATAGAGTAACCTGTTTTAACCGCTTTCAAAATGGTAGTGTTTGTTGTCAAATTTTTCTGTAAAGATCGAAATCTATATCTTGAAATGGACTAACAACCGTTTTAATTTGATATAGAATCAGTTTTTAAAGTAAAAGTGAATGTTTGACTTACTCTTACCAAATTTTAATTATTTAAACCCTTATAAAATCGCAAAATTAAATTAAAATTTGAACAGGATTAAGATTAATACCTATCACAAAAATGTGATAGTTTTTTAATGAATTTTGACCACTTTATGGCTATTCCAGTCCACCGTGCTCTCGAACAAGTTCCGTATGTAGAACAAGGTAAAATCGGCATTTAATTATTATTACTATTATTATTATTACCTACATATATATACATACCAATAAGCTTATAGCTTGTCTAGGCATTAACATATAAATTTATTAAAATTTTGATATGGCAACAATAACGAATAGCACGATAATTGCGTTCATTTCTCAACATCCTCTAAAATTTTGTTCAATTTTTTAATCAATCAATTGTTATAAAGTTTCTTGATTCTAATGAGTAGATTATTTTCGTATACGAAGATTACGCAAAAACGTCTAGCAAATCTGGCATTGCTTAGTAGTTTTTTCATTCTTAATTAAAAATGCCATATCAAAAGCTTTAAAGAAAGTACCCAAATGCAAAAACTATCATACAAATAATATTTGCATTATAGGCATATTTTCATATTCAATATGAAAATGGAGTAGAAATTTCCCAAATGAGCCTACGATTTTTGATGTAAATTAAAACCAAGTATTGGAAAATAATCTACTCATTAGAATCAAGAAACTTTATAACAATTGATTGATTAAAAAATTGAACAAAATTTTAGAGGATGTTGAGAAATGAACGCAATTATCGTATACGCAGACTTTTTCTTATAATTTTCATTTTAAAAAATGAACTTTCACCGCTGCAATTAGCCACCATCAACACTAAATGCATTCTCAATGTAATTTCAATATTAGAAAAAGTTATTATAAACGGAAATTCTGTTAAAAACATATATTTTGGTTCACTGTAGACATTGTAGTCTTCCTTGGAGGCATCTATGAATGCTAAAAACTGGACCAACTCATTTCCAAAACTAATTTCGAGATTATGAAAGCTGATCAATTACTGGAATAAAACTTCCTACTCGAAATTTTGCCTTGGGTTACAGGCTGTAACTTACAGCTGAGGTTTTTGCATAATCCAGTGGATTGAGCCAACATTTATTGATCTAGAGCGTGTTTCAATATATTCTTCAGTATTTGATAATTTCCGCGCTGCTTCTTTGTAATCCTAAATCTTTTCTCTTTTGGACTAGAATAATCTAAGCGATTTCATTGCACTGAATCGCTCTAAGATGTCGTTCCAAGATTTAGCGTGCAGTACAATCAATGATTGTCAATCATCTTCTTTAAAAGTCTAGCAGCTTCGATTTTAACGACGTCTTTCTGTTCTTGGTCGTGCGATATGTCATATCAGCAAGGGATTCTTTAATTTTCTCGTAACCATGATCATTAGCTTTTGTTGCATCAGCGTGACAAAACCATTTAAAAGGAATAACTTTAATAGCCAAGCAATGTATTATTGTTGTGCAAAAATAAAGTCAAAACAAACTTTTTTTTAGGAAATTCTGAGATAGACCCAGGCCCTGTAATCTGCGCCCTACGCCCAGGTTCAGTAGCCTTAAACAGCGACCAATTAGTCACCGGTGATCGCATATACAGCGTGAATGGTATCACTACAACTCGGATGAAACCAGAAGAAGTCACCACTCTACTGGATAACGTGGACGGTAACGCTCTTCTAGAGGTGGAATACTCCCTACCAAATTACGGTAAAATCCCCAATAAATTTATGTTGTAAAACTAATCATATTTTTAGCTTCACAGAGTTCCCTATGTATAACCTCGAAGGTGACGGAAGTCACCATAGAAAGTATAGATGGGTCGCTGGGTATTACACTGCGGGGTGGTGCGATTCCAGAGCATCAAAGCCTTAGTAGGCCGTTGGTTATTACACAAGTGCGGCAAAATGGACCATCGCATAGAAGCGGGTTAGTTCGAGTGGGTGACAGGTTACTAAAGGTGGATCACCACTCGTTGGTGAATAAGACTCTACTTGAAGCACAGCAGATACTTAAAGAGAACTCGCAGTGCAGCCACGGCATTACCTTAACGACCTTAACCATAGAATACGATGTTAGTATTATGGAGTCTGTAAAGTATGCTAACGGACCATTATTGGTGGAAATCGACAGACAAATAGAAGAAGACTTTGGGATAATAATCACAAACTGCTTGGATCTTGGTCCAGACGATATACTAGCTGCTGGGTATTACATAGAAAATATAGTACCAGCTAGTACAGCCGATAGATGTGGTGCACTAAATGTAGGTGATCAAATACTAGGTATTGACGAGTTGGTCTTAAATGAATGGTCTGGGACTCCAGCAGATGCCGAGAGGTTGCTTCGTAGAGCAACTAAACTGCAAATTTTGCCATCTCATGCCATACAAAGGGCTGCATCAAGAAACTATGGAAATTGTAAGACATTTGATATAATTTTGTTGTTTTATTTTAATATACTTTTGTAGGTCAATATGGAAATAGTCCTAGCGTCACAGGGTTCAGCACAATAAATTCAAGACGTTCCAGACATAGAAACAGATCCAATCGTCAAAGTACGATACACAAATCGTTTGACAGTGATTCTTGTAATTAATACTGGTTTAAAAAGTTTTTAAATAACATTAAGTATTTTTAGGCAGTACATATTGCGGTTACTCAAACAATCTTGGAGTCTCTCACTCTGAAGCCTTAAGTGTGACTTTATGCTCAGATAGAGGACAAGGTTTTGGGCTGGCCGTCTCAGTAGGCGATCATACAGAAAATCGATCAGCTGACATACTAATTTCAAGAATAACCGTGGACTCACCAGCCTATAGGTAGGATTAAAAAACATCGGAAATATCATCGTTCAATTAAACTTTTTAGATGTGGTTGTCTCCAGATCGGTGATAGAGTAGTATCGGTGAATCATCAACAGAATTTAACCCTGCAGGAAATTCATTCACTGCTAGAAATAGGAAATGAGCCAAATAGCAAAATTACGCTGCAAGTAGAATTTGATGTGGCTGATACTATAGTACCTTCCAGCGGTGTTTTTACAGTTAAACTAGCTAAAAGAGGGTCTGGACTTGGGATAACCATTACAGGTATTTAATATAAATCGTTTCTAAAGAATACAACTTATAATTGACTTTTCAGCTTGTAAGGCCCGTCCAGATGAACCCTTTATAATCTCAGAAATAAAACGTGGTTCCATAGCACACAGGACTGGTACATTACACGCTGGCGATCGCTTATTAGCCATCGATAATCGCACTCTGGATCATTTAAGCCTAGAGTCAGCATTTAATATTCTCCAAACTTCTACAAATGATATAGTGACGTTGAAAGTGGAAAAAACTGAAACTGAAAACGCTAATCTCTTTTTAGACAGTGTAGTGTATACTGTTGAACTTCATCGTTATGGAGGACCATTGGGAATTACTATATCTGGAAGTGAAGATTGTCTGGATCCCATAGTGTTATCCAGATTAACTGAAGGTTTAATTTATAGCTTTCTTTACAAAATTGAAATGATTTAATGTACTTTTTATAGGAGGGTTAGCCGAAAAAACAGGTGCACTACATATTGGTGATAGAATTCTTGCTATTAACGGCGAAAGTTTGGAACATAGACCTCTATCAGATGCTATAAGATTACTGCAGACTTCAGGAGACAGAGTGCAGCTAAAGATTGCGAGACATTTAAAAAATAATGGTAGTTATGATCCAATTACTATAAAAAATTGTTTTAAATTATTATTTCCAGATTCTTCCGATAGTTCTAGGTGTAACTACTCGAGTCCTGGTTTGATGAGTGTAGATAGTGCAATTCACTCTTGGGACAGTAATACAGTGGATAATCAAAATGATTGTAACACAGATATTCCCGAAATAAAAGATGTTGAAAGCGTCCTAAGCGAACCCATATCATTTCAAGACGCTGAAGAGTCCACATTAACCAAAAAGAATAAACGCGATTCGCAACTGCAATTTTATTCGGATGCTGACGAAATATTTTGCCCATCACCTTTACCATTGCCGAACTACAACTTTACCAACACGATAAACAAATACGAAACTTACGGATCTCCAACGCATTTCAACCCTCCTAACTCCTTCAATTCGTCAAATTCGTTTACAGATAGGAACTACAGTCCGGAAAATATTCTGGATAACGAAGTTTACCATGTGACGTTATACAAAGATTCTATTTACGATGATTATGGGTTCAGCGTTAGCGATGGGTTATATGAAAAGGGGGTCTACGTTAACAGAATACGTAAAGGAGGTCCAGCTGATATCGTGGGGTTGCTGAAACCTTTTGATCGCATCGTACAGGTGGGTAAATCTAAGCTAGTGAATCAAAATTCCGTTTTTAAAAGTTACAAGGTTTTATGACATTTTAGAGCATTAAGATTTAAGATTTTGTATAGATCGGTACTTTTGGAATATTCCAAAACTGTTTTTTGAGTTCGCTCCACAGAATCGGAAAGATCCCATAGCCTGACTGCCTTTTATGCCCAGGGGCCAGAGATGACGTAGAGCATATCTTCTTCTCGTGCTATAAGTGATCGACTAAGCGAGATGTTCTGGTTACCGTTTGAACGCCAGAAACTCTAGTGAATACCAGGCTGCAGGAACTTCGTTAAAGTCTATTGTGAAAACATATGTTCTAGTCAGGTCGTGAGGCTAGCGGCTTCTCTTCCGGTTAATACATGGAAGGGAAGTCAATCTGGACCAACTTCCCCCTTAGTCGTCAGCACCATTAAGGTACTGGTTCTTCTTCCAGATAACCCTTTTTGATTTGAAGTATATACCTACGTCATACTCAGAGCTGCAAGCTCTCAGAAAACTTAAATCGTTTTTTTGATTTAAATCGTTTTAATGACTTAAGTCCTTTGGTAATAAGTCATTTCTCTAAAACTGACTTAAGACTTAAAATTTAAGTAATTTTCAAAATGATTTGTGACTTAAATATTTTTTTCAAAATAGAAAAAACTTAAGTCAGTACATACGATTTAAGTCATATAGAAACGATTTAAGTCAAAAAAAGATTTAAGTCTTTATAAAAGTCGGTAAATTATTTAAGTAATTTAAAAAGAATTAAGTCTTTTTAGAAAATATTTAAGTCAGATTTTTCATATACCTATTTTTTTATAAATTTTTAACAGCGGCATTTTCTTTTTTATTTTGATTGTCTACTATATACTCAAAAAATGTGTTTTAAGTTTTTATTTTGTTTATAAGTGTTCTCAAAATAAATCGTTTTAAATTCTTAACATAGTGGTTTATTATCATCTGTATCTACAATAGATTAATAATTTCAGTATCATTAATACCATAAAATAATTATTAACATTTAAAAAATCGTTGTATTGACTTAAGGGTAATTATTTTGATTTAAATCACTATTTTTGATTCAAGTCATTTTATTGACTTAACTCTCAGATCACGATTTAAATAAAAAATATAGACTTAAGTCATAAAAACGACTTACTAAAGGAATTAAATCATAAGATTACTTAAATCACTTTATATTGATTTAAGATTTTGCGAAAATGACTTGACTTGAAAGAAAATTATTTAAGTCAAAGACTTAATACTTAAATCATTTGAACTTTATCTTAGAATTGACTTAAGATTTAAATCATTTTGATTTTAGAATTGATTTAAGACTTAAGATTTAAGTCTTTTTAAAACTGACTTGTTGCAGCTCTGGTCATACTGAATATCCTAGAAACAGTTTTAAGAAATTTTAGGTTCAGACTTACAGATGCTCAAGCATTGCTCGTTTTTAAATAAAAACCCTTTATGTAAAAGTGTGGCAGACAAAAGTTGCGGTGTGTTTTGGATAATAAGTAATTACTAGACTAAAATTTGTTGAAAAGCTGATTTTTAAATTGTTCATCCATCGCCGCATAAAAACACAGAGATGTCGCCAAATAATTCAGTCTGTAACCTTAAGGTTTGCTGGGGTGCTGCTGGACCTCTAATGGCACTTAGGACGTTTATATTCCGTAATAGGATTAGAAAATGGTATATTATGTAGGATCAAGTTTTATAAACGCCATTTTACTGCGAGCGAGTGTTTAGTAAAAACGAGTGTCTAGAGAAGTTTATAAAAGAGTTGCATACTATACTTTATCTACAACGAAGACAAAGAAGAATTTAAAGCCAATTTTATTTGTCAATCATTTGACATCTGTCAACTTTTAACGGATTTAACCTTACTTTTTCCCAATTTATAATAAAGCTAACTTCAGCCCGTGACTAAAATGCCCAAAAGCCCGTGACTAAAAAGTCACAACTCGTCAATGTAGGAAAAGTTAATAGCACCTATAGGTGCTATAGGTGCGTTTATAAAATTTGATACATATATATATATGTATCAAATTTTATAAACGCCATTTTAGTTACGAGTTTTAATAAAAACGACTATCTAGAGAAGTTTATACAACTTTATTTACGACGAACAGAAATAAGAATTTAAAGCAAATTTTAATTAAGTAGGTAAATATTTTACATTTGACGAATTTAAACTCACTTTTTCGCAACTTATACTAAAGCTAACTTCAACCCGTGACTAAAATGCCCAAAAGCCACTGTTGTTAACTTCAGTCCGTGACTAAAACGCCATAAGGTCACATCCAGTCAATGTAGGAGTAGATTATAGTATATTATGTATCAAGTTTTGTAAACGCCATTTTAGTTACGAGTTTAATTAAAAGCGAGCGAGTTTTTAATAAAAACGAGTGTCTAAAGAAGTTTATAAAACGAGTTGCATACTATACTTTATCTACGACGAACATAAATAAGATTTTAAAGCCAATTTTATTTGTTAAACATTTGACATCCGTCAACTGTCAACGGATTTAACCTCACTTTTTCCCAATTAATATTAAAGCTAACTTCAGCCCGTGACTAAAATTAGCAAAAGCAACTGTTGCTAACTTCAGCCCGTGACTAAAACGCCATAAAGTCACAGCTTATCAATGATGGAGTAGATAAAAGCATTTTTTAACCTCCCACATCGCGTAAAAAAAGAATTTGGGCTATTTTTTTAGGACAAATTAGGTACCTATATGTTTTGGAATATTCCAAAATATTTGAAGGTTGTTATCAACCTTGTTTTGGAAGGAAATTCAAGTATGAGAAGTTTTTGAAATTATTATAGTAGGGATATTATTTGAACAAACTTTTGGTAAATTTTGAACATTTCTTAACATCTCATATAAGTATTTACTTGATTTCCTTCAGAAGGAATCCTTCTCAACAGCCTTAATTTTTGTTACCTATATTAGCTAAAAAATACTAAGAACTTGTTTCTAATTTTCTATATAGCCTCCGTGGCGCAATTGGCTAGCGCGTTCGGCTGTTAACCGAAAGGTTGGTGGTTCGAGCCCACCCGGGGGCGACACTTTTTTTAATATTTTTTGTAAATAAATTTTTTTGTAGGTGAATGACACAAAAACGCAGGATTTCGATTGCTGTTTGACCGTGCCATTGATTGCATCAGCAGGGGACAGGATAGAGCTGGTTATTGCAAGGAACCCGTATTTAAATTTTTCGGAAAAAGTATGCTTTCTGTAATATCATTGAAATAAATTTTATAAGTTTATTTTTTAGGACTTGCAAGAAAACATTTCAAAGAAATCGTTTTCGGCCAGCCAAAACACTATAACAAAGACTTTATAATTTATTTATTAAAACTTAATTCCAGTTTCTATATAAAAATATTTATTTTACTTATATTCGTATATACATTATTATTCCATAAATACATGTTTGAGATACACAATACTGTAGTTTAACTCTACTAAAAAGTGAACAACATTAAACAATGTTGTACACGAAAAATATTATTAAATTTAAAAAGGTACAAAGTTTAAATATTTAAAATATTTACAAGTAGGTAACTTAACAACCAAAGAAATATAAAGGACAAATGATGTTTCGGTTTTTATGCAATGCCCCATATATTTCCCCTTATAAAATATAGTCTAATAATTTTATTAAACCTTTAAAAAATAAACAAAATATGATAAATAGTTAACAATAATATTTGAGCAAAAATATATTAAGTTTGCTTTTGCACTTATTTTAGTAAGCAAATGATTATGAAAATTTATTATAATATAACATTAAAAAAAAATATTTTTAAATGTCAAGACTAATAATTACATATATACATAATGTAAATTTTATTTAAATTAATTTCGGATGTAGAAAGCATAGTTACGATTTATTAGCCCAATAAAATATTCGAAAATTTACTGAAGATTTTAAGGAAATTAAAAACTATTTTTGACAGTTTTATCACAAAAACGGGATTAAGTCACTAAAAAGGGATTGATAAAGTCACAAAAAGGGATTAATAAAGTCGTAAAGCTATTGCAAGGATTTATAAAGGCAGGATAGTCGATTTCCTATACCTACTTGACCATGTACAAAAACGTGCTATACAGGCGAGTTGTGGGCGTGGTGTAGCACACTCGATTTTTGACTGAGAAATCACAATTCTTTAAATTTGAGGTAAAAGGAGCATGGCTATTGGAATAAAAAGATTACTTCACGAGGAAGCACCACAACCGGAAGTCTACAGCACGCACACAAGGAAATTGAATATCCTGCCTTAGGTATTTAAGCTTTTGATCAGTTAAATTTCCTATAAACCTTTGGTTGCTTAAACATTTTTTAAACATATATACAAGGTGTCCCTAAACTTGGCATAAATTTAGGAAAAGATTGAACAAGTCAAAATAGGACGAAAACCCAAATAAATATTTTTCCTAATTACTTATGTTTCCAAGATACAGGGTGATAAAGTGTTGCTTATCATATCAGTTTTTTTTAATATAACCTCTACTATGGTAGTCTTGGAAAGGTGATATTTTGCGAACAGTCACTTACTACCAAAACACATATTCACACACAATTATAATTGTTTTGGTGAACACAGTGTCGTAGAAACGTGGGTTGCTTCAAGCTTATTGTCCCATACAAACTTTGATGTTAGGTTTTTATAACATTTGATGCAATTTTTAGATTACACAGTTAAAAAGGTGTACCTCTCAAACTTCGATAAAATAAACCGTTACTAATTGTAATAGCGCATTATTTAAAAGGATTAATATGATAACAAATTTTATGTTTTAATTGAAAAAACTAAAAATTCCATGAGCCTCGGGACATTTTGCCCTGACCGTCACATTAAAAAATTGTAGTATTTTCAATTAAAAAATTTGTTATCATATACCTTTTAATCCTTTAATGCGATATAACAATTATTGTAATCTCGAATATCTCGGAAACGGTTTATTTTATCGAAGTTTGAGAGGTACACCTTTTTAATAGTACCGAACTAAGTAATCGAAAAATTGCATCAAATGGTATAGAAACCTAACCTCAAAGTTTGTATGGGACAATAAGCTTAAGCAACCCCTGTTTCTACGACACTGTGTTCACTCAAACAATAGTAATTATGTGTGAATGTGTGTTTTGGTAGTAAGTGACTGTTCGCAAAATATCACCTTTCCAAGTCTACCATAGTAGAAGTTATATAAGTATTAAAAAAACTGCTGATATGATAAGTAACATTTTATCACCCTGTATCTTTTAAACAAACGTAATTAGGAAAAATATTTATTTAGATTTTCGTCTTATTTTGACTTGCTTAATCTGCTCCTAAATTTATGTTTAAAAAATGTATATATTCAGTGCTGCCAAATTTAACACAAATTTGTTGGTCCAAAAAATCTTAACAATCCTGTTTTTGCATATTATATTTTAATAAAGCCAATACTGAGTGGCAGGTTTAACAAAATGTGGGCATAAAAAAATATTTTTAATACAAAAAATAGTAATTTACAACTCATACATTGCTTGTATGAATAATACATGGAAAGTGTTTTTTAATTAATAGCACATATTAAATATTAAATAACAAGCAAACCAAAATCATTCACTAATGCAATTAATAACACAGCCAGAATGATTAACTAGCCTAATATACAGGATGTTTATCAAATTCAAGCCGCATGATTTTTTTCTTCCTTACGCAATTTTTTCTAGTCCACTGTTTAAAAAAACCTATTTTTCCAATTCCTATTATTATTATTTTAACGATGTGGCTCCCGTCCCGAGGCGGGACTTAAGTTCAGTCCCGATTGACGTCACACACTGTAAATCCGTTTTTATTCCCCGAGATTTTATAATTTGTGTCAAGCTCGATGGCTTAGATGGTAGGGCGGTCGCTTGGCATGCGAGAGGTACCGGGTTCGATTCTACCAGAAGTTGTCAAACTTTTTTTATTTTTTTTATTTTATAAATTTGTTGTTTCTTTGTTTAAAAGTGTTTTATTTTTATCGTAACATAAATTTGCCCATTTTAGTTGTGTTTTTTGCTCAATTGGGCGGGGGGGGCCCAATGGGGCGGGGTCGGTTGGGTTGTGTTGTTGAGTTTGGGTTAGTTTGGTTTTATGACGTAACTAAAGTGCCCTTAACATGTATACAGGTACAATTTATTATTATTATTATTTTATTATAACATAACAAATCTTAAAATTATGACGTCAATCGGGACTGAACTTAAGTCCCGCCTCGGGACGGGAGCCACAGCGTTATTTTAACTATGTGAGACATAGTTTTAAAGTCTCAAATATTAAAATATTTTCTGATATTCAACACTTTAAAAAAGCGCAATTTATAAAATTCCTATCTAATTATACGCATTCATATTGGCACTCAATAAATAATTAAAAATTCGCCTAAAATTCATTTTAAAATGTTCATACAAACAACAAGTTATTTCGCACTTTCGAGTTATAGGAAAACGTGTTATTATTAAAACTGTTCAGATTTCCATTGGAAATTCCGTTCGAATGTTTGTAACCATTTTCCTGGATTAAATGACCGTTTCGGTGTTGCAAACTAGGGTCCGTATGAGACGGCAACAATGGCTTGGGTTTCTCCGACTTTTTCGCATCGTATTTCGCCTAAAACAGGAAATATGACAACAGGCCATTTCAAGCAAATAAAAAAATTATTTTTATAAAAAATACGGAGGTAATTAATTATAGTGTCTGCTGAAGTTGGCAACATGGGAAACTTTCTTATTATTAATTTTACGAAAAAAAGTTATTATTATTTTTTATAAAAAGTTCTGCATGTTCTAAAATCTAAAATAAAATCATCAGATATAAATTTTTTTCAGTCATATATGAGGTTTGACAAAAAATATGAATTTGGTTCAAGAGTAAAGTACCTTTATTTGTGATAATATCGAAAACTCTAATTATAAAAAGTTGTTCGGAATGAAAAACTATGTTTAATAATGCAATTACATCCTTCTACGTAAACATTTTTTGTACAAATTTTTCTCAAATTACCCATCTCGAACATTTATCTTTTTTATTTATTACAAACATGACAACCTTTTCAGAAAATTCTGATGTTTTGACATTTAATGTCAAACATTTCTTGCTATCAACAAATCATTTGTTTGTCAGTGCATCCTAGATTACATGTAACTACAGTTACATTTGCATTGTTATTGTAAACAAAAAATAAAAAATGATTTTTTCCATGTAAATGCATATTTGAACGTAGTTTTTAGTTCTGATCAACTTTTTTTAATAATAATTTGGTATTGTCAAATATAAAGGTACTTTACTCTTGAGTAAGATTCATATTTTTTGACAAACCACATATACGACTGAAAAAAATTTTAGAACATGCAAAACTTTTTATGAAGAATAACTTTTTTCTTAAAATTAATAATAAAAAAGTTTTCCATATGTTGGAAACTGTATATTATTTTTGATGAAAATTGTCATACATTAAATAAAACAAACGCAAGAAACATTTTTTTAAATTAGAGACATTTTTTATAATGGAGTTGTAGACAGGACAAAAAAATATTTCTCTTGTATAGCCTAATAAAAGAAGAATATTTTTGTCAATTTTGATGCCAAAATAATATATAATTACCTAAAATTTTTTTTATAAAATCGGTTTTGTGATTTGTCCCGTTCGCATGCTTGAATTGGCCCAACACTGTAAACTAATGACCGACCGAAATTTTGGTTACGGTTTCAGCCAGTTTTGGCCAAAAATGCTGGTTTCGGCCAAAGTTTCGGTTTCGGTCGAAAATTGGCCAAAATAATCGTGTGCTACATTAGCTGAGAAAAACACTAGATTTCAGAATATAATAAAAATTTAACTAAATTTTAACATAAGCTGAAAATCGTGTTTTGGTCATATTTTGCATAATGAGATGTCTTTAATACATCTTGTATAATTTGTCTTACCTTATTATAAAACAGTACTCCACATATGGCCAACAGCATACCAAAAACGTTGGTGGAGGTTACAGGGTTGCCAAGTATGAAGAGCGAGACGGCGATGACGAAGATTCTTTTGCTAGCATTGGCAACAGCGTAAGTCAGTGGCGTCACGTGGTGGAGGACGCTGAAAGCTATTATGTTTTGCAGCCAGTTTAGTACCCCGTCTGTAAATAGTAGTGCTACAACTCTGTAATCATGATATGCCTAAAAAATTAAAAATAAATGATTGAATGCATTACGATTTTTTTTAGGGTTCCGTACATCAGTACAAACCCATAGAGTCTCTGTATGAACCCTTGCCACATTCTTTATATTCGTCAGATTCTTTGTCTTTGTAGCTTGAGTTAATAAATTATTTGCTTCCAGCGGGATAATTATTAAAAAAAATTACAATTCGCAAATTTTAATTAAGTTTCTGAGGACACGTGGCGAATGGAATTCAGGTTATGATTAAAATTATAGGTACATTTGTACCATATTTCAATAAAAAAATCTTTTAATTTAAAATAATATCCATATATGCGTAAAATATTTCATTAAATATTTTACGCTACTATATTAAAGTCGTTAAATCCTAAAATTGCTTACTAGGCTTACTAACCTAGTTGTAAAAACATGCTGATAAAAATATTTAATATTTAATTAAAATTGTATGCATATTAGCACGTGTAGTACACGTTAAACTATAAATAACAACAATTAAACTTATCAACAAACCTTGAGTTAGAATATTAAATAATACAAGTAAAAAAAAATCTTTTGTGTATATAGTATTTGAATCCTCTAGTATCAAAATCCGTTTTGATAAAAATGAGATACATGCATTAAAATATTCCTACCTATCAATGTGTGCATAGAAATAATTGCAAAAGCCATCAAATATTTAAAAAAATATAAATTTATACATTTCCGGGCTTTTTCAACCATTTGAATGCCCAAATTGATAGGTACTATTTTTTTAATGCATGGTTCTCATTTTTCATCAAAACGGATTTAAGGGGTTTTGATAATAGGGGATTCATTTGTAATGCGACTTTCGACCTTTTAACTAACCAGGAAAATTTGAAATTAAAAAATAGATTACTCACCACAGTATTATCCTTTAAAAGACCAAACATGTCAGTGCAAATCCACACAGGCAAAAACATGAAAAAAGCCAGCCTTCCCAAAATGTGCAACAACCTCAAATGATGCACTTTCGTATCATGCAGAACTTTTTTCGAGAATATATTCATCAAGGAAAAACCCATGGTGGCTACCAAAGCACTGATAAGTCCAATCGAATCAAAACTTATTTCGGTCAGTGTAGCAATACCAACACCGACTATTATAGGGACTAAACTAAAATACACTAGAGGGGTCTGTTTTTCCCCCATTATCACCCTTGACAGTATCACAGTAAATAATGGCATTGTGGCTTTAACTAAAAATAAAAAATTAAGTTAGTATAGGTACTATGCTGCACACTGAAAAGTCCCACTTTGACATTTGAATACAAATAATTGAGGTTATGTATCTGTCAGTTTAACGCAAATTTTGTCCTATATTTTGAAAATCATACAATATACAGTCTACTTTTTTAATGTTTTACATTGCGTCATCAATTTGTGAACCAAGCAGGCTTAATTTGTTGTTTTGTTTGTAAACGTATGTGCGATGTATGCCGAAGTATATAAAAAAATAGGTTTTTGACATTGATGACGCAATGTAAAACATTCAAAAAATATACTGTATGTGGGTATTTTTTGTTTATTAGAACACAAATGTATATGGGCAGATCCATTACTTTTCGACAAAAGTGTGCGGGGGTAAATCACCGATTTGGCTGCCGATTTTTTTCTCGAAAGTAGGTCATATAAGGAGGCGATCCTGAAAATTTGAGCTCGATATAGGTAATTCCGGCTGCAAGAGAATTTTTTGAAATATAAAAAAGTCGATTTTTTAGTCATTTTCAAAAATTCGTATCTCAGCTCTTATTTAACTTAGAGATTTGATCAAGACGGCATTTTTCTCTGTTATCCCTCTATTTTCAAGAAAAAAATAGGTTTTAAGTTTAAACTCAAATCCGGCTAAGCTGTAAGCCTCCAAATAAAACACTGCTTAAGATAAATTTTGCCAATTTTTAAAGTGCTCTCAAATCTACAGTTTTTGAAGCAGTGGAATAAATAACAGATGATATTTTTAGTTAAGGTATACTCTGTTGGAATTTACCCATTTTTTACTTGATTGCTTCAATTTCTCTAATGTATGGCCACTCAAAGACAATTGATTTTTGAAAAATCGCTGTTTTCAGATACCTACAACTTTTTTCTATCGATCCGAAATCCTTTGATAATTTTAGGGATTATACTTTATTCTATCCCCAAACAACCCATCAAAACTTTTCCTTGGGTATTGAAGTGGTTTCCGAGCTATGAATTTTTAAAAATGTCAAATTTTCAATATAATATGACATTTTTGGTAGTTTTATTATCAGTTAAATGAATTATTAGTAATACTTTAGTCAATAATCCATTGGACCTTGTTCATTTTTCTCGAAAGTAGGTCATATAAGGAGACGATCCTGAAAATTTGAGCTCGATATGGGTAATTCCGGTTGCAAGAGAATTTTTTGAAATATAAAAAAAGTCGATTTTTTAGTCATTTTTAAAAATTCGTATCTCAGCTCCTATTTAACTTAGAGATTTGATCAAGACGGCATTTTTCTATGTTATCCCTCTATTTTCAAGAAAAAAATAGGTATTAAGTTTAAACTCAAATCCGGCTAAGCAGAAGCCTCCAAATAAAACACTGCTTAAGATAAATTTTGCCCATTTTTAAAGTGCTCTCAAATCTACAGTTTTTGAAGCAGTGGGATAAATGACAGATGATATTTTTCGTTAAGGTATACTCTGTTGGAATTTACCCATTTTTTACTTGATTGCTTCGATTTCTCTAATGTATGGCCACTCAAAGACAATTGATTTTTGAAAAATCAATGTTTACAGATATTAATATCTGAAAAAAGCGATTTTTCAAAAATCAGTTGTTTTTGAGTGGCCATACAGAGAGAAATCGAAGCAACCAAGTAAAAAATGGGTAAATTCAAACAGAGTATACCTTAACGAAAAATATCATCTGTCATTTATCCCACTGCTTCAAAAACTGTAGATTTGAGAGCACTTTAAAAATTGGCAAAATTTATCTTAAGCAGTGTTTTATTTGGAGGCTTACAACTTAGCCGGATTTGAGTTTAAACTTAAAACCTATTTTTTTTCTTAAAAATAAAGGGATAACAGAGAAAAATTCCATCTTGATCAAATCTCTAAGTTAAATAGGAGCTGAGATATGAATTTTTGAAAATGACTAAGAAATCGTCTTTTTTTATATTTCAAAAAATTCTCTTGCAGCCGGAATTACCCATATCGAGCTCAAATTTTCAGGATCGTCTCCTTATATGACCTACTTTCGAGAAAAATGAACAAGGTCTTATAGATTATTGACTAAAGTATTACTAATAATTCATTTAACTGATAATAAAACTACCAAAAATGTCATATTATATTGAAAATTTGACATTTTTAAAAATTTATAGCTCGGAAACCACTTCAATACCCAAGGAAAAGTTTTGATGGTTTGTTTGGGAATAGAATAAAGTATAATCCCTGAAATTTTCAAAGGATTTCGGATCGATAGAAAAAAGTTGTAGGTATCTGAAAACATTGATTTTTCAAAAATCAATTGTCTTTGAATGGCCATACATTAGAGAAATCGAAGCAATCAAGTAAAAAATGGGTAAATTCCAACAGAGTATACCTAAACGAAAAATATCATCTGTCATTTATCCCACTGCTTCAAAAACTGTAGATTTGAGAGCACTTTAAAAATTGGCAAAATTTATCTTAAGCAGTGTTTTATTTGGAGGCTTACAGCTTAGCCGGATTTGAGTTTAAACTCAAAACCTATTTTTTTCTTGAAAAAAGAGGGATAACAGAGAAAAATGCCGTCTTGATCAAATCTCTAAGTTAAATAGGAGCTGAGATACGAATTTTTGAAAATGACTAAAAAATCGACTTTTTTTATATTTCAAAAAAATTTTTTGCAGCCGGAATTACCTATATCGAGCTCAAATTTTCAGGATCGTCTCCTTATATGACCTACTTTCGAGAAAAAAATCGGCAGCCAAATCGGTGACTTACCCCCGCACACTTTTGTCGAAAAGTAATGGATCTGCCCATATATATTATTGTATTATTTTTAGAAAAAAGGCGAAATCAACATTAAACTGAGCTCAATTATTTGACTGCATCCCTTATTAAAATGTCAAAGTGGGACTTTTTGATGTGAAGCATAGTACATGTATTTTAAAGGTTTCCAAACTTTTGTGGAGTATCTAATATTGAATTTGGATAATTTACCATTTTAAATTTAAGAAAATCCTAATTTTAACACCCTGTATTTTAGAAAGAAACAATAGGTTTGTCCTACCATTGATTAAGAACTCTTTACTCAATGACACCCTGTGTATTAACCAGGAAATTATCATATTATTTACCAAACAAACAGTTTTTTGTTATGGTAGAAAGATCTGGCTATACAATAGTGAAAATCTTATTAAATATATTTACAAAGTAGCTTCCATATTCAATTAACTAGAGGTGGAAAGTTTGATTCTTTTTAGTAAATCAATTCTTTTAATTCATTTTTTTAAATGATTTCTTCTTAAATATTCGTTTGCGACTGGTTCACTTTCTGGTTTGGAAACAGATAAGTCATGATCAATTCAAGTTCTACCAAATTAATGACTTGGTAATTGATTCTTTTACCCTTGAATCATTCGAGAAGACTGGTCATGTTGTATTGTTAAGTGAATTAATGACATTGTTAAACTATTCGATTAAATTTTCATTAAACTCAGTAAATTAACATTTTGCTTATCCAGTGCAATAACATCACAATTACTAAAATTTTAAAACCTAAATGAATAAACAAAGTACATGTAGAATCATTTGTATTCGAAAGACTATTTTAATATTTAACAGAAAATTTATAGTTTTACCAAAGGTCATAAAGTGATCCGCACTTGGCATTTAATTCAGTGCCTGTAAACAAATTGAGTTTATATTATTCTATGGTATGATTTACTTTTCAGTTTGATCAACATGTTTAAAAAATAAATTGATTCTTTTACAAACTCTGAATCAATTAATTCAATTCAATTAAATAATTCGTTCTTTTTGAACGAATCATAATCAAACTTGCCACCTCAACAATTAACAAAATGATGGGATTTTGGAACATTTTTCTGTTTACAAAACTATGTAAATATGGTTCACTGAGACATATCATCTTGTTTTGTCTATGGTCCTTACTCCTCAAAAAACCTTGTAATACAAGGCTGTATACAACATTGGCAACACAAGCCTTGTATAATAGTAAACATAACCCCAAAAAGTGAAAGTTACCTGTATGAGCATAGGAGACAGGAACTTTCCATATGCTGACATGGCTGAACACTGAGGCCACGAATTTCCCGAACGCCAGGGGCACAATCAACCTGAAATAGTACCTCCAGGATATGTCCACGTATTTTCTGACACCCCACAGGTTAAAAAGAGGTCCGCTTAGCACCGTGATAGACAGCAATTGGACCATTGTCATCGTCATGGGATACGGAAATTCGTTGAGTAGCGTTTTGCCGACGACATTGTTGCTGGAGCTGACAACGTACCACGATATGCACAATAACAAGACCGTAACGACTTCTTTGGTTTGTTTTTTGTCGGCCATGCTGGCAGGGGTACACTTGTCAACTGACGTCAGGCTGACGGTCGGCGATGTTTGACGTTTTAAATGTCACTTTTTAGCTCGTGGGAACAGTGCGACGGTGCCGGATGTTATCCATAAAGGTAACATTAAAATAAAAATTATTTTATTCATTATTTTGTTGTAAGACAGCTGTTAAAACGACAAATAATAATTATAATTTTTTGTCTTGTTTAATCATTGCTTATTTACTTGGTATTTTATGTTGTTTTTGTTTAGTTATTAATTATATTTTCTCAGACTGTGGGGAAAATAAGACACATGACAACATGGGCTAATTGCACAGGGTCAAATTCTCATTAATGAAATAGGATTTTAGGCACACAAAACCCCAAAGGGTTGTCGATATTGAATAACAATAGGAATTATTGTATTAGTAATTTCAATTTAAAATATAAACACATCCGTGAGGTTAGTTAACGGTTAAACTTTTAATTTAATTTTATATTATATAGCAAAAAACTAACAAAAAATCATTGAGTTAAAATATTTTTATTGAATTTTTTTTAATAGAAATATTAAATATTAGCAAATCAAAATATTAAAAAATATTAAATATTAACAAATTTTGTTAAAAAATATCATCCTTATATTTTAGCAAATTTATGTTCAGTATACTTTTAGACTTTTTGACTTGAACTAACCATTTTCTGTTGTAGTTATATAATTAATTAATTACCTACCTAGTGATTTTTGAAAAAAAATGTGTCCCAAAAATATTATTATTATTATTTCTTTGTTTGTATCTGCAACAGATTTTAGAAAAATTGATTTCTTGGCATTAAAAATTACTAATTTTTTGGAAAATTTTCATATTTTGCATAATAAAATTTAAAAAGAATTTTAAATTCACACGGCGATTTTATTCCGCTGTTAGGGTGGGTGATTCGTATACGAATGTTATGTTATAACATTAATCGTTGTATTAATTCTAGAATACAATATAAAATTCTGATTTTTTGCAGATTTATACTTGAAATGTGAGCGCTTCTAATAGCAATTCATAAATTTTAAAAATTTCTAAAGATTTTGAAAAAAAAAAATTTGCATTATAGAAATATCAAAATCGTGCATCAAAAACTTTACCCTGCGGCGAGCTATGTGAATTATTGAAAATTTATATACATATATATCGAGTCAAATGTAGTTAAAACATTGATAAAGTTATTAAAAAAAAAATTAATTTGCTAACTTTAACGGTTGTTGAAATATGAATTTTTATCCAAGATTTTAAATCCAAACGGAGAAGCGATTGTATTCCACTGAGTGTGGGTGATTCGTAACATTAACCGTTGTATTAATTCTAGAATACAATTTAAAATTCTGATTTTATGCAGACTTATACTTGAAATGTGAGCGCTTCTAATAGCAATTCAGAAATTTTAAAAATTTCTAAAGATTTTGAAAAAAAAATTATTATCAAAATCGTGCATCAAAAATTTTACCCTGCGGCGAGCTATGTGAATTATTGAAAATTTCTATACATATATTGAGTCAAATGTAGTCAAAACATTGACACAGTTTAAAAAAAAAATGAAGTCGCTAACTTCAACTGTTGTTGAAATATGAAGTTTTATCCAAGAGTCCTGAAATGCCCGCTAGAATAATATAATAATTATATAAATATATATTATATATAATATTAATAATTATATATAATAATAATAATTATATATAATAATATATATTATAATAATATAACTGGAAACAAATTTTTGAACGCAAGAACGAAAAATACGCTCTACCTGGAATGCGCCTCGCCCACTGACGGCGCGAGCAGAGCAGGCAAGACAGAGAAAGCATGCTTAGGCAAGACAGAGTAAGCCTATACACGGTTTCAAATATCCGAGCACTGTAGGAATATTCTAAGCTTAATTAAGCTTGTCTTATTAAAATAATCTATAAAAAATTAGTTAAAATATTAGGATTTCCATTTATTGAAAAATTCCTACTTACATAAATATATTCTTATATACGTATATTTTCCTATATTCTATTCTACATATATTTTACTATTTACCTACCAAGATACATACACCTACTTAGTCGATATAACAAAAATAACAAGAAAAGTGTAGGTATATGAACTTGTATGTTTTAAAGCTTCGTTTTCAAGATACAGGTAAAGATGTTACAAAAATATATATTTTTAAAATTCCAGAACTCCTTGGTAGAATTTCAGGTTTCCAGAGGCGGCGCTGGGGCACTTCTACTAGATATTTAAAAATTAAATTTGGGTGCGTATGCCATGGAGTTCTGCAGTGCTTTTTGTATTTACTTATATATAACTTATTTATCTGGAAACTTAAAAAATTGTCGAGCGTGTGGAAAGTAGGCGTGCGGCCTACTTTCCGCACGCTCGACTGTGCGGAAAGTAAATTCGTGCGGAAATTTCTGCACGCTTGTAAAAAAATATTGTATCTACTCCTACATTGACGAGCTGTGACTTTATGGCGTTTTAGTCACGGTCTGAAGTTAGCAATAGTGGCTTTTGGGCATTTTAGTCACGGGTTGAAGTTAGCTTTATTATAAATTAGAGAAAAGTGAGGTTAATTCCGTTGACATTTGACAAAATTGACATTTAATGTCAAATGTTTAACAAATAAAATTGGATTTAAATTCTTCTTTGTGGTCGTCGTATAGTATGCAACTCGTTTTAAAAACTTATCTAGACACTCGTTTTTATTAAACACTCGCTTGCAAGCTTCGCTCGTGCTTAATAAAACTCGTAACTAAAATGGCGTTTATAAAACTTGATACATAATATATATTTTAATACTTTTGTGTTTTTGTATTGAGATAATAATAGTATATACGTACTATTATTATCTCAATACAAAAACACGAAAGTATTAAATAGTTTCTCAGCGCCAATATTTGAAAAGTTTATACCCAAACAACACAGTACGTTTTAAAAATGTACATTTTTGTTTATATTTACGTACTTACGTCTTAAGACCAAAAAAATATGTATTAAGTACGTACTATATATTATGTACATAAAATGTAAGGTTCAGTCGTCCTCAGTACGTACATAGTATGTACGAAGAAGGTATGTACAAAATACTTAACCAAAAGTTTTAACAAAAAACTTTTGATATCCTATAAATAATTTCAAATTCTTATTTTGTATACATACCTATCTAATAATAACAAATGATAGATTAAAATCAAAAAGGAACTGAGTTCAATTTTGAAATAAAAATAATACAAACTAACAGTGTATATTTATCATTAATCCAAGATACAAGCCTTTTTATTTAAATTTATTTGAATTGGGTAGTAGGTACCTAAGAATTTAGTCATCAGAAAAAGAAGCATGTTCTAAAGTATTCCTGGTTGCATAGTGTGTACCGATCGCGGCGGTGTGGATCACGCCTCTGTTGACTAAGTCAACTTGACTTACATGAAGAGTATATACTCTTATATTATATATGGGGTAAAATTTGCAAAGTGTACCACTACACACTATTTGGCAGTGGGCCAGCCTGTCTACAAACGAGCGTTGTACGTTTGCCAGTACCGCTGGAGTGATCATCTGGATCTCGGCTTGAATGCGGTGTCTTAGGTCGTCCAAATTTTAAGGCCTGTTTACATAGACGCGGTTTTTAAGATGTCCCCATAAAAAGAAGTCTAAAGGGTTCAAATCGGGCGATCGCGCTGGCCACTCAATTTGACCCCTTCGACCTATCCAGCGATTGGGAAAGACCTAATTTAAATAATCCCTTACTATATGCTATAGCAATGCATAGTGTGGTGGTGCCCCGTAACAGCGAATAAGTTCGTCAAAACCAAAATCTCAATAAGCGGCAAAAACCTACTTTTCTCAAAAATTTTCTTATGTAACCCTCCACATGTAGCATATCAATGTACTCAGGACAACGGTAGCTATCCAAAAATGCAACAAAAATAAAGGGTTGTAATTTAAAAAAACCTTACTTCGATTGGGGCGCCGCCACGTGGCAGATTTTGGAACAACTACATAGGCTAAAATATTGCTAGAAAAATATAAAGGTTGACGTGTTTCAGCGTTTTTTTTTTAAATTACCGTTTTCAAAATAATCACATGTTCCGGGACTTTACGGACACACTGTATAATGTCTATAAACGGTTTTTGCTGTCATGACGAGCTCTAAACATTCGCCGTACGGACATTACTTACTTTTTAAACCGTCAGTCAGAATATTTGTGTTGCCAATCGGCAGATTAATTTTAATTTAATTTAAAAGTATGGTAGGGCGAAAAATTGAAGAAAAACAACACCAACACTTTAATCTTTCTGTATTTTACTTTAGCCAGAAAAATAAAAATTAACATAATTCTAGTAATATCCGCCAAAAATCCTCCGAATTAAGAAATCTACAAATCATATTTTAATATGCCGATTGGCAAAACAAATATTCTGATTAACCGTTACGGTTTAAAAAGTAAGTAATGTCCGTACGGCGAATGTTTAGAGCTCGTCATGACAGCAAAACCCGTTTATAGACATTATATATAATATATATATTATTAACGCCATTGACCTATTCAGCTTATAGGCAAGCCGTTACGGTTATAACAATACATTTTTTATTTAATATCATCGATCCTCCTTGCGAAATCTATGTAGATCCATGCTTAAACAATTTGTGCAAAAAAATACAGTTAAAAAACTGGGGAGTGTAAATATTTAAAATATATCATTGACTACTCAAACATAATTTTACATTTTAAATTTTCATTTTGTATTCGTTTACTCGCATCTACAGTGTAGTAGCTATTCGATGGCTAGACCCGCACGCATTCAAATATCGTCTACATGTCGGGCCCACTCTAATTTTTTTTATTCAAAGGTAACATAATAAACTTCGATTTTATGCTATTTAAAAAAAAATTAAAAAATACACATTGTTTAAAAGAATGCAAAAGGTGGTTAAATTGAAATATTTCATAAAGAGATGAACAGAATTCTGTTAAGTTATGAATTTTTAAATAAAAAGCGATTTCACCAAAAAGTAATATGAATAAACAATCATAGAGCAAAAAAATGTTATGCTATGATTCTTCGTTATAAGAACAACAAATAAGTAAAGTTTAAACAAAATCGGTGACAAAATTTTTTCCACCTGGTACACTTGGCAAATTTTGCCCCATATATAAGCTCAGGTAGTCCTTTAAAGGACTACTAATTACTTTGGTGTGACAATACAAGTTGTTCGATACTAAAGAGACCTTAAATAGGTGGAAACAGATGTCAATACTTGAAGAATTTTTCAAGTTGGTGGAACGCACAAAAACATTTCCTCTGTTTTCCGCTGTAGGTTCAATTTTCTGGAATAATACCACTGGTAGTAATACTACCGTAGTATACTAGTAATGCGTCAAGGAATTTCATGTTTCTTGAAAAATATAAAAAAATGTTTTATTATTATATTTAGTCAATTCAACCAAATGTATTTAGTTAAATCAAACAAATAATAGTTGGGCTAACTAAAGCTTTTTCTGTGTACGGAATAAAAGTACGATTTATTTATGTACAAACTACGTTCTAAATACTTAGTAAATGTACATACATAAAACGTATTATCGAGTGGAATTTAGATGTACTTAGGATTTACATAAGATATCGCAGTACGTACGTAAAATGTAAGGTACGTCGAAGGTCGACGTACTATTTACGTACATAAAATGTAAACTGGTTGTTTGGGTATGAACATCCCAGATAGCACCATTCGTCCAATGTACGTCCGTTTAAGATCCATTTTAAGTACAGTTACGGAAAGAAGTAATGTCCATTTGAATGCTCCATTGTAATTGTTCGGAGGCATTCGGGTTTTGGTAATAAAATTAACATATCTATTTTTAAACTCACCTATTAGGTGCATATACACGGAACGATTTGTCGACCAATAAATTGTACCAAATAATCGTTAAATAAATTGTTGCAAAAAATCTCAAAGATAAATCGTACATGATCCACTGACGCAAAGTTTTATTTGAGCAATATTTCTGTTCAAATTAATCGGTCAAATTTATTGCTACATGTATGCTGTTTTCAACGAATAATTGGTCAAATTTGATCAAATTATCTGTCATCGGTGATTTTTCGGCATTCTGAAAAATAAGACCAATTTGACGTTTAATGGTGTTTTCGGGATTTTGAATTTGGCTTTAAAAATTAAAGATGAACGAAAATGCTGCTTTACTTGTTGGAATGATGGGATACATGATAATTCAAAAAAGAAGAAGAACAAAAAATCCCACGAAATGGGTCAAAACATGGTTACTGAGAAAAGAGCTGAATCATATGCCGCTTCTAAGACAATTGAAGGGGTTAGAATAAAAAGGGTATAAGTAACATTTTTATTTTTTGGAGATATTTGAAGTTAAAGTTATGTTACCATAAAAAAGTGAAGAATTTTGTTTAGTAATGTTTTTCTACTGGATAATAGAGGTCCCTAGAAGTATGAAAATTACTTAAATCCTTTTCATTTCGATACGTCGGAACCTTATCTTTCACAAAACGAACTTATCTCCTAAATTAAAGAAATTGCACTTATACCCTTTCTATTCTAACCCCTTCAATTGTTAGAAGATGATCCTGACGATTTTAAAAATTACCTGCGTATGGATGAAACAACTTTTAGGCAATTATTGGAGCTAGTAAAAGACAAATTAACTAAGCAAGATACTGTAATGCGCAAGGCAATTTCACCAGAGGAACGTCTTATTGCAACATTAAGATTTTTAGCAAGTGGACGATATTATAATTGTTTGCGATTCTCTGTTGGCATAGCCGAACAAACTCTTAGAAAAATTATTCCAGAAACATGCCGTGTTTTATTCGAAGTACTGGCAGAAGAATATTTGAAGGTAAATAAGAAATTATATGTACATTTATATTTATTAGGGATCGACCGATATCGGTATATCGGCCTTCTTGGTCGATATCGATATTGGCTGATATGTAAGTGCGATATCGTGCTATATCGACATCGGCCTGATAAAAATTTCTGTAGAAATTATTATTATTTGTATAGAAATTTTTATTAGGCCGATACCGGTATAGGCCGATATTGCACTTACTATCGACCAATACCGGTACCGGCCAAAAAAAAAAACGATATACCGACATCGATCGATCCCTAATATTTATATCTTTTTATTGTAAACACTTTTGAATATTAAACAAAACATTAATCATACATCATAACGTAAATATAATAGTATCGTTTGAATTACTTTGTGTCGTAGTCTGCGAAAACTCGAAGTTTGGTGTAATGGAAGAAGGAACACTGCTATGCAGATCTTGAATGACTGTTGTTTTTGTTAGCTCCTGAAAATAGGCTTTTTTCAAAGTCTGATTAATTAGATCTTCATCTAAGATTTTTTGAACATCTGTTAGTTTTCGTACTTTTGCTGCCCAGCCAATTCCAATGGCATCGAATTCATCGATTTCTCGTTTTGTATTAGATATTTTGCTTATGGCTTGTGAACATGTTTCAAGAAATTGTTCCTCTTTTTTTCTTATAATTTTTCTTTTTTTCACTTGCAATTTTGTTTGGTGTTGCAGGTGACTTAAAAACCTGGAAACGAAATAAATACATTTAAATTCAAACGATACATTTTGAAATTATTTACAAGTACATAATGTTTTTAGTGTCCTTCGACTCAAGAAGAATGGCAAGAAATTGCAACACAATTTAAAAACCGCTGGCAGTTTGTAAATTGTGGAGGGGCATTGGATGGGAAACATATTAGAATTTCACGACCACCTCATTCTGGAGCAATGTTTTACAACTATAAAGGATTTTATAGTGTTGTACTTATGGCTTTAGTAAGTGCTGATTATAAATTTACGTGGTTGGATGTCGGCAAACAAGGTAGAATTTCTGATGGAGGGATACTGGATTGGACTTACTTTCATAATGATTTAAAATCTAACAAACTGAATTTTCCTGCAAAAGAAGACAATGACTTCAATTTGGATTTCGTCTTAATTGGTGATGAAGCATTTGCATTGGATAAACATTTATTAAAGCCTTATGCAAAAAGAGAGCTAATGCATGAAAAACAAATTTTTAACTACCGTCTATCTCGTGCCAGAAATGTTGTAGAAAATGCATTCGGGCTGCTTGCAAGCAGATTTAGAATTTTTCACACACCAATAGCAGTCATGAACGTAGAACATATTAATTATATTGTAGCAGCTGCTTGTACTTTACAAAATTTTCTACTGTCAACTAGTTCTACCTATTCGACTAAATCAACTTTCGACAGAACCAATAACAAAACTTGGATAATTGACGAAGGCGAATGGAGACGCGAAAATTTTGTGGAGCTTACTCCGCTTCAACATGCAAATCCGAGGAATGCTAGTGTTGATGCAAAATTAAACAGAGATGCATATTGCGACTTTTTTAATGGTTTAGGAAAAGTGGAATGGCAAGAAAGTATGCTGAGAAAGGGTACAGCTTAAGCGTTTAGTAATTACTATCTTAACTGTATACTTATAAGTATGTAATTCATAACATTTAATATACATATATATAAATAAAAAAAATTAAACTTACTTTTGTGGACTTAGATGTTTCTGCCAAAGACACTTGAGAACTTGATCTCTCACTAAAATCTGTATTTTGACTTTCATGATCATTATTTTGAGTTACATTATTTGCAAAATGATCTTCCCTATCTTCCTCCTCAATTTCATTAACTTCGTTTTCACTTTCAACGTCCGTATCAAGAGTACTGATATTTGGAAAAGGCCTTGTTCTGCTTTCTAAGCTTGCGCGGGGTAGTACGTCATCGCAGGTGAAAAGAAGTAAATCACAGTGATGTAACCGATACATTTTTTTCAGTATCTAGGTACCGATACAGATACTCTCTGGTAGATGTATCTGGGTACAGATACCGATACATTTTCCCAAAAGTATCTGGGTACAGATACAGATACATTCAAAAAGTATCTAAGTTACTTCCAGATACTATGTTAAAAAAACCTTCAAAATGGCGTTTATAAAACTTGATACATAATATATATTTTAATACTTTTGTGTTTTTGTATTGAGATAATAATAGTATATACGTACTATTATTATCTCAATACAAAAACACGAAAGTATTAAATAGTTTCTCAGCGCCAATATTTGAAAAGTTTATACCCAAACAACACAGTACGTTTTAAAAATGTACATTTTTGTTTATATTTACGTACTTACGTCTTAAGACCAAAAAAATATGTATTAAGTACGTACTATATATTATGTACATAAAATGTAAGGTTCAGTCGTCCTCAGTACGTACATAGTATGTACGAAGAAGGTATGTACAAAATACTTAACCAAAAGTTTTAACAAAAAACTTTTGATATCCTATAAATAATTTCAAATTCTTATTTTGTATACATACCTATCTAATAATAACAAATGATAGATTAAAATCAAAAAGGAACTGAGTTCAATTTTGAAATAAAAATAATACAAACTAACAGTGTATATTTATCATTAATCCAAGATACAAGCCTTTTTATTTAAATTTATTTGAATTGGGTAGTAGGTACCTAAGAATTTAGTCATCAGAAAAAGAAGCATGTTCTAAAGTATTCCTGGTTGCATAGTGTGTACCGATCGCGGCGGTGTGGATCACGCCTCTGTTGACTAAGTCAACTTGACTTACATGAAGAGTATATACTCTTATATTATATATGGGGTAAAATTTGCAAAGTGTACCACTACACACTATTTGGCAGTGGGCCAGCCTGTCTACAAACGAGCGTTGTACGTTTGCCAGTACCGCTGGAGTGATCATCTGGATCTCGGCTTGAATGCGGTGTCTTAGGTCGTCCAAATTTTAAGGCCTGTTTACATAGACGCGGTTTTTAAGATGTCCCCATAAAAAGAAGTCTAAAGGGTTCAAATCGGGCGATCGCGCTGGCCACTCAATTTGACCCCTTCGACCTATCCAGCGATTGGGAAAGACCTAATTTAAATAATCCCTTACTATATGCTATAGCAATGCATAGTGTGGTGGTGCCCCGTAACAGCGAATAAGTTCGTCAAAACCAAAATCTCAATAAGCGGCAAAAACCTACTTTTCTCAAAAATTTTCTTATGTAACCCTCCACATGTAGCATATCAATGTACTCAGGACAACGGTAGCTATCCAAAAATGCAACAAAAATAAAGGGTTGTAATTTAAAAAAACCTTACTTCGATTGGGGCGCCGCCACGTGGCAGATTTTGGAACAACTACATAGGCTAAAATATTGCTAGAAAAATATAAAGGTTGACGTGTTTCAGCGTTTTTTTTTTTAAATTACCGTTTTCAAAATAATCACATGTTCCGGGACTTTACGGACACACTGTATAATGTCTATAAACGGTTTTTGCTGTCATGACGAGCTCTAAACATTCGCCGTACGGACATTACTTACTTTTTAAACCGTCAGTCAGAATATTTGTGTTGCCAATCGGCAGATTAATTTTAATTTAATTTAAAAGTATGGTAGGGCGAAAAATTGAAGAAAAACAACACCAACACTTTAATCTTTCTGTATTTTACTTTAGCCAGAAAAATAAAAATTAACATAATTCTAGTAATATCCGCCAAAAATCCTCCGAATTAAGAAATCTACAAATCATATTTTAATATGCCGATTGGCAAAACAAATATTCTGATTAACCGTTACGGTTTAAAAAGTAAGTAATGTCCGTACGGCGAATGTTTAGAGCTCGTCATGACAGCAAAACCCGTTTATAGACATTATATATAATATATATATTATTAACGCCATTGACCTATTCAGCTTATAGGCAAGCCGTTACGGTTATAACAATACATTTTTTATTTAATATCATCGATCCTCCTTGCGAAATCTATGTAGATCCATGCTTAAACAATTTGTGCAAAAAAATACAGTTAAAAAACTGGGGAGTGTAAATATTTAAAATATATCATTGACTACTCAAACATAATTTTACATTTTAAATTTTCATTTTGTATTCGTTTACTCGCATCTACAGTGTAGTAGCTATTCGATGGCTAGACCCGCACGCATTCAAATATCGTCTACATGTCGGGCCCACTCTAATTTTTTTTATTCAAAGGTAACATAATAAACTTCGATTTTATGCTATTTAAAAAAAAATTAAAAAATACACATTGTTTAAAAGAATGCAAAAGGTGGTTAAATTGAAATATTTCATAAAGAGATGAACAGAATTCTGTTAAGTTATGAATTTTTAAATAAAAAGCGATTTCACCAAAAAGTAATATGAATAAACAATCATAGAGCAAAAAAATGTTATGCTATGATTCTTCGTTATAAGAACAACAAATAAGTAAAGTTTAAACAAAATCGGTGACAAAATTTTTTCCACCTGGTACACTTGGCAAATTTTGCCCCATATATAAGCTCAGGTAGTCCTTTAAAGGACTACTAATTACTTTGGTGTGACAATACAAGTTGTTCGATACTAAAGAGACCTTAAATAGGTGGAAACAGATGTCAATACTTGAAGAATTTTTCAAGTTGGTGGAACGCACAAAAACATTTCCTCTGTTTTCCGCTGTAGGTTCAATTTTCTGGAATAATACCACTGGTAGTAATACTACCGTAGTATACTAGTAATGCGTCAAGGAATTTCATGTTTCTTGAAAAATATAAAAAAATGTTTTATTATTATATTTAGTCAATTCAACCAAATGTATTTAGTTAAATCAAACAAATAATAGTTGGGCTAACTAAAGCTTTTTCTGTGTACGGAATAAAAGTACGATTTATTTATGTACAAACTACGTTCTAAATACTTAGTAAATGTACATACATAAAACGTATTATCGAGTGGAATTTAGATGTACTTAGGATTTACATAAGATATCGCAGTACGTACGTAAAATGTAAGGTACGTCGAAGGTCGACGTACTATTTACGTACATAAAATGTAAACTGGTTGTTTGGGTATGAACATCCCAGATAGCACCATTCGTCCAATGTACGTCCGTTTAAGATCCATTTTAAGTACAGTTACGGAAAGAAGTAATGTCCATTTGAATGCTCCATTGTAATTGTTCGGAGGCATTCGGGTTTTGGTAATAAAATTAACATATCTATTTTTAAACTCACCTATTAGGTGCATATACACGGAACGATTTGTCGACCAATAAATTGTACCAAATAATCGTTAAATAAATTGTTGCAAAAAATCTCAAAGATAAATCGTACATGATCCACTGACGCAAAGTTTTATTTGAGCAATATTTCTGTTCAAATTAATCGGTCAAATTTATTGCTACATGTATGCTGTTTTCAACGAATAATTGGTCAAATTTGATCAAATTATCTGTCATCGGTGATTTTTCGGCATTCTGAAAAATAAGACCAATTTGACGTTTAATGGTGTTTTCGGGATTTTGAATTTGGCTTTAAAAATTAAAGATGAACGAAAATGCTGCTTTACTTGTTGGAATGATGGGATACATGATAATTCAAAAAAGAAGAAGAACAAAAAATCCCACGAAATGGGTCAAAACATGGTTACTGAGAAAAGAGCTGAATCATATGCCGCTTCTAAGACAATTGAAGGGGTTAGAATAAAAAGGGTATAAGTAACATTTTTATTTTTTGGAGATATTTGAAGTTAAAGTTATGTTACCATAAAAAAGTGAAGAATTTTGTTTAGTAATGTTTTTCTACTGGATAATAGAGGTCCCTAGAAGTATGAAAATTACTTAAATCCTTTTCATTTCGATACGTCGGAACCTTATCTTTCACAAAACGAACTTATCTCCTAAATTAAAGAAATTGCACTTATACCCTTTCTATTCTAACCCCTTCAATTGTTAGAAGATGATCCTGACGATTTTAAAAATTACCTGCGTATGGATGAAACAACTTTTAGGCAATTATTGGAGCTAGTAAAAGACAAATTAACTAAGCAAGATACTGTAATGCGCAAGGCAATTTCACCAGAGGAACGTCTTATTGCAACATTAAGATTTTTAGCAAGTGGACGATATTATAATTGTTTGCGATTCTCTGTTGGCATAGCCGAACAAACTCTTAGAAAAATTATTCCAGAAACATGCCGTGTTTTATTCGAAGTACTGGCAGAAGAATATTTGAAGGTAAATAAGAAATTATATGTACATTTATATTTATTAGGGATCGACCGATATCGGTATATCGGCCTTCTTGGTCGATATCGATATTGGCTGATATGTAAGTGCGATATCGTGCTATATCGACATCGGCCTGATAAAAATTTCTGTAGAAATTATTATTATTTGTATAGAAATTTTTATTAGGCCGATACCGGTATAGGCCGATATTGCACTTACTATCGACCAATACCGGTACCGGCCAAAAAAAAAAACGATATACCGACATCGATCGATCCCTAATATTTATATCTTTTTATTGTAAACACTTTTGAATATTAAACAAAACATTAATCATACATCATAACGTAAATATAATAGTATCGTTTGAATTACTTTGTGTCGTAGTCTGCGAAAACTCGAAGTTTGGTGTAATGGAAGAAGGAACACTGCTATGCAGATCTTGAATGACTGTTGTTTTTGTTAGCTCCTGAAAATAGGCTTTTTTCAAAGTCTGATTAATTAGATCTTCATCTAAGATTTTTTGAA